TACTCAATTTTTTTTAAACCAGCTTATTGGTTTCATTTAGATAGTACAGTATCCCTGACGGGACATGAAGGGGGGAAAACAATTATTTGTCAATGCTTTTGCGTTCCCTCACAAAAACTTTTGTGTTCCACCGAACACAAACTTTGATTCAGGAAATTCAAACTTTGCTTTTGCTTACAAAGGGCTCAAAATGTTTTGCGAGGGAACCCAAAGGTTTTGCGTATGAACACAAAGTTTCTCAGGGGAACGCAAAACTTTTGTGAGGCCTTCTGAAGCAAAGCGACGAGTTTGTGTAAGAAAAATATTCATATTTACCAGGTTACAAAGTAAAATTCTAGCTTCCAGCCAAACGGCCATACGCATTATACTTACACCTAAAGCGCAACTTCTGCAAGTCAAAAGTAGCGTAGTGCGTCATGGCGTAGCGTAAATATCAGCAGTACGTTGCATTACTCGCATAAGTTGCGCTTTAAACTTAAGTGGAATCCGTATGTTCGTTTGGCCGGAAGCTAGTTATTTTACTTTATAAAGTTTTAAATATGGATATTTGTCTTACACAAGCGCATCGCTTCACTTAAAGGACAACTCCGGCGCAAAATGAACCTCGGGTGTAATAACACATTGGTACAGACTAAATCGTTCCCTGAGATTTGTTTTCATGATAATCGAATATAAAGAGTTTTATCTCTAAAAACAGTTTAGCTTATAACGCTAGTATATTGGGCATCGAGTAAGCAAAAAGAGATCGCTAGTTAATACCATTAACAAGGCTCAAATTAGCCCCACACGTGGTTTCAGACTCGATCGGAATCGGACATTACCTCCCGATCAGGACTCGGATATATGTAAATTAGGGGTGTAACGGTACAATTCGTAATTATTGAACCGTTTTTCGGTACGAGGCTTCCGGTTCGGTACGCATACAAACGGAACGATTCCTAGGACCATTTTTCCTGCAGACAAAATCCGCGCTGGCGCGATCACCACAACGTTGCGCAACATCAAATGGCAAACGTAATGAAAGCGTAACGAAACTGCGCTACTCATTATATTGTGCTTCACGGACCATTTATCAGTTCGGACCATCAACATCTGTGCAGCGCGAGATCAAGCGACACTGCTAAGAGATCCAGTGAAGAAAACATTTGAATTCGCCACTGAAGTAATAACATCGCTGCGAGATCTAGTGAAGCATTCACATTTCTCCGTTATTAACCGTAGATCTCTATTAGATCAAACAGCGCTGACGTGGAAACCAGGAGAAACATTGTGCCGTGAATGAACATGGATTTAATGTTGCACTTCAAAACTCAAATATTATATAAATATATATTTAAATGTTATTTTTAATGTGATTACCAAAACATTATTTGTTCATCCTTCAAAGATTACCCCCATTTATAAACCTGAAAGTTTCAAAATGTAGGAAAACTCAAACTTATTTAAAAATAGTTTTTCTTTTAATAAATAGGAAATTTCTCTGGCATTTCTTTCTTTTTGCTGTATCGTATCGAACCGAACCGCAAATTTTGTGAACTGTTACACCCCTAATGTATATATATATTCTCATTATTTTTTATACACTTTTAAAACATTTTTATTTTTTGTTTACATGCCTGCCGGGTAGTATAAGTTGAGGTGCTATTTGTTTTTATATTAGACTTTATCTATATTTACTGTTGCACTAAAGTTCAAAAGTGAAGATTTTATGTTATTTATTACTTGATTGTTCAAGCTACCTCACAGAAGTGCTCTGTTTGTTAACGGAGTTGTTGAATGTTAAAATAAGGTGAATTAAATAAAAAATAAGGAACATCCTGGATCTGTTTTTTCTCTCTTCTTTATTCTTTTTTTATGTATTATATAAGTATCGGATCGGGACTCGATATCGGTAGATACTCAAAATCAAATGACTCGGACTCGAGGGCAAAAAAACCTGATCGGGACATCCCTAATTTTTTTAATACAACTCAGATTGAATTCGTCTGAAAGAAGAATGTCATATACACCTAGGATGACTTGAGGGCGAGTAAATCATGGGCTAATTTTCATTTTTGGGTGAACTATCCCTTTAAGATAGAGCATTAGTATTCAGCACTTTCTTAAAGAGATAGTTCACCTAGAAAGGATGATTTATAAATTATTAACTCCCTTATGATGTTCAATTAAAACTGTATGCTATTGTGTTTTTTTTCTTTACACTTTTCTTCTGCTTTTTCCATACTGTTCATAGTGAACAAAAATGACCAAAAAGTATAAAAGTAGTTCATGCGACTCAAATGCTATATTCAGACTCTTCTCATATGATTTTGTGTGAGGAAATTTAAGTTAGTGATAATCTTCCCCTCCAGTGAACCTGTTAACATGATCTAGATTTCAGTTTATTGAACCAGATTAGTCTGATTCATGGACAAACTCATTTAGTTCTATTTGTGAACCAGATCAGTCTGGTCATTGAAAAGAACTGGCTCAATGTAATGATCAATTCATGACATTGAACTGATTCAAATCTCTAGTTCAACTCACTGATTCAATGATCCAGTTATAAGGATTCCCAAGTTAACAAATTACTGAAGGGGAATGGATGGCTTCAGAAGACCTAGGAATGTAGAGCACACGTCTATTTATATTTATTTATTTATTTATTTATGAGAGTGGCAAAAGTGGTCGCTGTGAATTGTAGTTCTATGGAAACCACACTATGAAGATTCTTCAGAAATTGCTCCGCTGAAAAATAACAGCAAATTGGTTTGTAACAACATGAAGACAGTTTTCATATTTGGGCAAAGTAATCGTTACATAGTTTGATTGTCGCTGTCCCTTTTCCTGTCTTTCTCCAGCTCTTTTCACAGTTCTTTTTCCTCTTAAAAACAGGCTCATAATGTCGAAATTACCATGCCTTGGTATCGTCTTTAAGGTTTCTCGTCCCTCTCTGAACAATTCCACGTTTTTGTCATTTTAGTCAAACAGCTGCAGCAGGCGCCTAACAGGCAGTCCGTCCGTTTCCTGTCCCATCTCCCCCCTTGACCAAAGCATCAGCATCCCAGCCAGCTTATCATGGGGAACTAATTCAATATCCCTGTGCCTGATTTAAATGTCATTGGCTGAGCTCATCTGGAATGACATGTTTTTCACGGTGGAAGTAAAGGCGCTTTATTGAGCAGGGACCAGAGTGGGGGGATGTGGCTGCCCTTCGCTCTTCATGTTCGCTCCCATCCGAAAGGTCTATGAGCTTTTTAAGATCATTCGGTGCACATTCAGTGCACGCTCGCTCATCCTATCTTTCATTGTCTCTGTGAGTCATCACACATCCTTAGCTGACTTGTGAGTAGACTACAGCAAAAGTTACATCCTCAAATGTCAGTCTATCTGAGTTTTTATTTTGTGATTTGTTTTAATATTACAAATATCATGTTGACTTTTTGCAGTTCGTTCACTTTTTTAAGGATTTTAATGTAAGTACTTACTGTTTTAATTAATTAATTAAATATTTAAGTAATTAGAAAATGAATTACTGTTAATTTATTCACCTCACATATTGACCTATTTGTCACTCCAAACCATTTGGACAATTGAGTCAATGAGTTGACTTGAGAACCAGATAAGTCTGATTCATGAATAAAGGGTGCATCTCAATCAGCTCCCTAGCTCTCTAGGTTGTGAATCAATATATTGTGGCTTTGGTTTTCCCGCTTAAGAATTTCCCTTATAGTGAGTATCGATCGCTCTCTGGATTTCATGGTGCATTGTGGGGACCTTTAAGGGAGCGAATGTTTCAGTGCACTGTGAAGTTTTTGTGATTAAGACACCCCTAAAGATGGCCAACTCCCTGACTAGTGAACTAGGGAGCGGATTGAGACGCACCCTTAAAGTATTTTTGTGAACTGAATCATCTGATTCATTTGAAAAGATCTCAAAATAGCTTTTTTTATGGCTAAAGACATGGAATATAGCACACAAGTCATATAGTCTACTATTATACTTTTAGTGCTTTTTGTATTTTGTACATTTATATGAAATCTAGGATATTCCTCAAATGTAACTTTTGTGTTCCACAGAAGAAAGAAAGTCATACAGATTTTAAACAAAACTAGCGTGTGTAATGTTCATTTGTGGGTCAACATGTCCCTTTAAGATTAAATGTTGATTGACAGCAAACCCCTTGTGGTTGACATTATGTGATCTCTTGCCACGTGGGTGATGATATCAGTTAACCCATTGTACCAGAGAAAAGGTCCCTGTGTGAGGAATGGCCCAAAAACCCCTGAGATGCACAGCATGGCGTCTTACCATGACCCCCGCAGGCATGCCTGTATCATCTGGCCTTTTGCCCATACTGAGTCATCCGCCTCCGATCTCACCCCTGCTCCTTTCTTAACTCCCCCCTGGCGGTTTTTACCCCTTTGCATCCCGACTCGCATGTCTGGCTGCTTCTGGGGTTGTGGGTTGGAGAACAGGGGAAAACTGGAAATGTGAGGGGTTGGCTGGGGCTTACCACAGCACATAGAGGGGCAATATACAAGGCAGGGACGAGTCAAAGAAGATGCTTCTTTAAAAGATCAATTTAAATATAAAGGGCAAATAAACAACTGCTCTGTCAAGTCTGCCAGTCTGATCTTGAAGTAGGCAATCAGAAGTGCATCTTTTTTCAGTAGAGAGGGACAACATGGCTAAAACTCTCAAATGGCAATAATAATTGTAGTCTGTTGTAATACAATATTGTAAATGTTATGCTTTAGTTCCATTAATTTATTAAAAGAGCATATTCACAACATGACTTCCATTCTGACTAGCAAGTAACTTAATTCATGTCATTTTGTGGAGATAAAAGTTTTGGTATTACGTTAACCTTGTGTTTCTGTTTAAATTCATTGGTATTGGGGGATGTGTGTTAATTCCCCCCCCCACTGGTTATGTGACATTACAATTATGTTGACGAAATAGTTTCATCATTATAAATTACATGTAATAAAGTTGAATCTCATGTGTTTTTCCCGTAGGGTTCCTGAAGCCCCAGTGCTCAATACCACCACCGCCTCAGAGAGGACGAGCAGAAGCATGTACGTGTTTCAGCGGAATGTGTGCTCTTCATCAGCGCAGACTTTCTACAGGTAACGAATGCTTATTCAGGACTGCAAAATCACTTATGTTCTCTGTAGAGCGTAAGCTTTTAGCAATAATTCAACTGTTGGCAGCTATGTAGCTCCGCCATATAATAATTCTGCCTTTTTGTGTGCGTCAACTGTTCCCATATGGTTCTTACTTTGAAGAAAACTCAATGCATGCATAAATCAATGCATTGAAGTCATATTTAGAGCCCTAAACGGATTTCCACCGCGCTCAGCTATAACTCATGCCAAATGTGTCTGGTCTTGTAATATGTCTGCATCTGCAAGAAACAAGACACATCTTCTTGCGCTACATGCGTACACATACAAACACACTCTCTAATCTGAAATAGTGTCTGGCCCCATCCGAATGTTTCGGCCCTGCAGTGTGTTATTTACAGTTTGTTATGCTAGGGCTGATGGGCTGATGGACATGTTAGCAACCAGTCTTCTCTAAGTGATCCTTATGGGGTAGAGTTACGGCACATTCCAGCCATGTCCCTGTGGTATGTGGAGAATGATATACTGTTGGCTTGCGTGTAAGCATGTTTTGTTACATGTCTTTTATTGTGTTGTCCTAACATAGTGTAACCTCTAGATCAGTTCATAAGCAAATGACATATGAACTGATTCAATGAAAAATGGGTTCATAAAAGACTCCTGAATCAATTCAGTTTAGAATCCTGTAGGACTGTGGTTCTCAGTTGGTTTTGTGTCTAGATTTTTCACTGCGCATCAAGTAGAGACCGAACAAAATTGATTGCACATGTCCTCACGATGAAACATTGAAATTAATTAATTTTACAGTTTTGGATGAGGACATGACATGTCTGTATTTTGACTGGTTTCAAGTAATTGATAGATGAATTGTTCAGTTTGACTGGACAGACGTCCTTAGACGTCAACAACAAAATATACGTAAAATGTTTACTCCTAACGTTGATAAGCCAATTTATTTAGCTATTTTTCATTGGCACAATTATATGGTTAATTAGGTTTAATTAGTTGCATTTAGCATTATGTTTTTCCCTATCATAACAGATTTGCAACCTTTTTTGTGACATCAGATGAGAACCACGGATATGGGAAACACTCCTGTATGTATATAAATGAGTCAGTTCTGTGACCCTACACATGTGCCGGGTGCATTATGGGAGACCTCATCCATATATGCTATTCAAATGAGATACCATTTCGATTCATCTCTTTGATTTTGCTTTTAAAATGGGATTGGATTTGACAGTCACTTCTTGGACTTTTTTTTTTTTACAAAAGCCCCAAAGGGTTCAGCGTTTGCTCAGAAGCACAAGTTGAAGGCTGGTTTATCCCTCAAGTACCCATGTGATTTGATTGAATCCATGTTTTATACTCTCTCAACTCAGAAAGGCATGGCAAGCATGTTTTAATAGCCACTGCAGATGGTTTGTATACATCATTTACAACAAAGGGTTACTTTTATTGATGGTATACAGAGAGATTTCCTTGGTTTAGTTGGTTTATTTGGAGCCATTCGTGCTCAAGTCGTTCTGTTTGTGAAAAATGTTAAATATTTCCGCAAGCTGGCGTGGTGGTCTTGAGACGCTCCAGAGAGTTTTTGGCAACACAAATAAGTTTGCCTATAAAAAGGATTTCTTTCTACATATTGTCTTTTCCAGAGCCCATAATAGAGCTTGTGGAGAACGAGTCTTTAAAGCCCTGCGTGGTGCTCAGCAGTCTGTTCGCGGTGAAACGGTTACTGTGGAAACCCTGTGGTCTGGTGTGGTGGCTAGCCTAACTGGAGTCGCTCGTTTATAGAAGTAGTAATAGCCGTGTTTCTAATTAGGGAATGTGTTTCCGTAAATCTCTTCAGAGAGGGAGAGGATGTGTTCCAGTCTTAGCTTGTTGCTTGTACCGTGGTGACCAAAATCACACATTCGAGTGAGGAAGATGACATGGGTTTGTTGGCAAACGAAGCAGGCAAATGAACGTTACCCGGGGAGATCTGAATTCCTGATGTGGCGGCACTTTGGCTTCCAGTGGTTTTACATTGTTTTTTGTTGTTTTTTTACAAAACATACCCTTACTGGAAAGAGACCGTGAGAAACAGCGTCCTTATTCAGTTCCAACTTCATTTCAAAGGCGCTCGTTTTTTTATTAATATAAATTTTTTTTTTAAGTGCTCGTATGAAGTGCGCAAGAGGGAGCACTTAAAAAACTGCTGCGGAGGGGCCTCACAATGCCGTCCTTGTACTGCGATCTGGGCTCTTCTTGCTGCAGCGAGTAGAGGAATGGAAAAGATTATCCACAGGAATGTCTGGGGTGCCCTCAAACGCAGCGCTCCGCGTGACCGGCCAATGGGAGAGCTCAACCGAGTGGCGGGCTAATTTTTTCCTGATGAACTCAGCCGCCTGCTTCATAATGGAGTCTGATTGCCAGCGCTGAACTCACATATGGTCCATGTTTGCAGAGCCCAAATGACAGGACCACTTCTGTAGCGGGCAGAAGGAGACGATCGCTGGCTCAGTTTTTTGTTGTTTCTCTCATTAGGGTTGGGTAAGGACGAGGGTTTAGTCCGACTCATTTCAGACCACTTTCTCCTTCAGGTCTGGGTGTTTTTTCTTTAATTATTCACTTTTTATTGGCATCACTTATCTTAAACTCAAGTTACACCCTAAAGCCAAACCTTATTACTTCTAGCCACACTTAATTATATTGGTTGGGTCGCGGTGCATCTCTCAGCTTCATAAATCCTCCCAGTTAATTTGGAGGCTATTTATTTTCCCGATTTCTTGGAAACAACTTTTGCGGCCGTATTACGACAAGTGGCTGTAGAATTAACTGTATAAATTACTTGGCTTGAGGTGGGTGTGTTTTAGCTCAGTGGAACGTCGCCGGCAGCCTACAAAAAGACAAAAAGAAAATGCGGTCAGGCTTTCCGAGACCAAAGCATGTGTTTGTAGACCTTGTGGTCGCACGGGAAGGGGAAGGGGCACTCTGGAGTCAAAAGGTTAGGGAGGTCAAGGAAAGGAGCTTGTTAGCTGCAACATGTTCCATGGTCCTTGTTTTTTAATTGGGTCTGGTTGGCGTCCATGCTCGCCCTCGCCACTTCCTGTTGGCCCGGGGCCGCCAAAAAGGGGCCTGGAAACTCCAACTTGTTGATTATAGAGTCAGGCTCTTTATTCGCTCTGAAATCCATCACTACCCGGCGTACAGGCTATTTTAATGGTCATATTTATTTAAACTGAGCTTCAAAGGTAACCCAGTGGAGTAATAACAATTCGGCTGCCATTTTTTAACATGTCTTTGTCATATGTACTCATGTAGGTTTATATTCTCACAGCGAGCCTGCAGTCTGTCATTATTTGGGTCGTAGCTGCCAAAAGGGTTTGGGCTAATTGGATTTCGAAGTTAATTTTCATCAGCTATTTGATAAAGACCTGGCAGCAGTCCTAAACACTCTAGCCACCCCCGGTTTCTGCACCAATGAGCACATTCCATACGTCAGGAGTGTAATGAGGAGAAGCAAAACGAAAAGTTTGATCCGAGTGATCTCATCTGGGAGAGACGTTTTACTTTATTCCCTCATCAGCCCGTGTAAACACTGGAAGCAAAGTGGGAGTCATGTGGCTTGTTGGGATGGAGTTTTCCCCGTGACGCTATCAAGCACTTTTTGTGCTAATCTGCCAGCTAATTGAAAGCAGAAATGAAATGAAATGAAATGAAAATGATGGAGGACACTTCTGTGATATTGGACTGTGTGTGTGTGTGTGAACAGTGATTAATGTTAGAGTTTTTATGTTCTTATTGTAAATATTTAAGTGTGTATTTCAGTTGTCATCCGTTCTTTAGTGTGATGATGATAATATCAATATTCCTTGTTGTTGGATTAATAATGATGATGCATATTATTATTAATGTATTGTTAATAATAATTAATTTATTAATAATAAAAAAAACGTTTTACTATTATTATTGTTAATATAAATAAAAGATGGTTTTATGTTGTCCCGAACTCTCCTTGCCATTGGATATTCCCTCCTCAAAGTCATTGATTTATTTAATTTGACATTTAAAAAGTTTTTGTGTGCAAAATTACATTTCTTTTTAGGACTCTATTTTAAAAGCGCACCCCTTGTGGAAGATATGTGGGTATCACAGTCACGTTGCATTTTTTTTGGCAAAATGGAGAAACAATCCTGCTAAACTCTTGCTTTGACCGCCAATACAAACACATAGCCACACTTTCACCTCAAATGACTGCAGGACAACACGCACTGTATTATGGAATGACTATATGACTTGTGACGTCTCAGCTTAGGCTGTGCGTACGTTCGTGTGTGTGGTTGGTGTGTATGTTTTTAGGTGCCGTCTGGGGGGTGCGTGGCCGACACACCTGACACTTGTTGGATGCAGAATGAAATGTGGTGGAGACTGCTCGTGAAGTTGGGCCTTTTGGGCGTTTGTCTCCGGTATGGAGTTTGTTAGCCTGCGCTTTGCTGAGTGTCCTGCCCGACCCTGATACATCTCTTTATTTTTGTTATGCTTATGTTTGTTTTTTCTTGCGTTAAAAATAAATGTTTTGCTGAGAATTGACACGTCTGGTCTCCTTTTAGTTTCAGCCTGAGAGCCAGCTGTAACAGACTATATGGAATGACCAGTGTGTGTGTGTGTGTGCGCGCATCATAAACTAGTTGATTCAGTGACCATCTCTGAAGGTGAGCCCAGCTGACATTCTTAGTTACATGCCAGCCAATCAGAGCCAGAGGCATGTGTGAAACAAAAGTGTGAGTGGCAATAGTTAGAGAGATGGGGCCAAATCTGCAGGAGGAAGCAAAAGAAAAAAAATGAGTGCGTTACAAACAGAGGAAGTGAAGCTCACATTGGCACAGTGTGACAGCAGCCGCTCGTTGTGTCTGGGTCAGGAAAAAAATCAGAGCGACTAAGCCTTTGATAAATCTTTGAGCTCTTAATCTCTGTGTGCCACCATCACAGTGAAATCCTATCTCATTGTCACAGCTGACCGA